CACATCATAAGTTCTTCATCTTTAGTATGACTTAATCAGTATTTCGCTATCGCTTTGAGAACAAACTAAGTGAATGCATGTAGACCAGCTCAGTTATTCAGTTGTCTTTCCTTACTGTAGGTACATAAGAAGTGAATCACTTAAAGTTAAATTGCTTTTTAGAGGAAGCGTATTATTAAAAAAAATTCGGTTTAGTCTGACTTGATACATCAACTTTTTGTAACTGAGCTTTTACTCAAACATCATTTTAAGGAGAAAGTTTAATAGATATAGAAAGCGTAATGCTTATGTTAGGGCCAAATTCACAGGGAAACATTCCTGAGTAGCTTTGAATATTTGACAAGTTTTGTTCCATAACATCACGTTCATTTAATTTCGAGATGAAATTTTGTGACTGTATTGTTTATTCTGTATGTTATTTAAATAACGAACTATTTCTTCTATCAAATTATAAACCAGACATAACAAACTGACTTCTGAGTAACAAATTAATTATCTTAAGCACCATCCTGAATGAGATCGCTTCTTCTTGGGCTCTTTTAGAATGAGTCTGTAAGGCTTCGTGAAAACAGGTAAACAGATCCATCTTTCAATTGTGATTGGCAAAAAATATTTTTGTTACGTACTTCATCTTGAGTCTGCACTAGCTGCCAGTCGGTGTAGATGTTTGACTTTGAATAAACAGACATTTGAGTAGTTTTGATTTGTGACTTTATACACAATCAAAGCACTAGCGTTGTGGTCTCTTACGACTCCAAAATCTTAAAACAATTCTTGGAGTGGATTCTGAGTTAGATTTTAAGAATCTAGGAGTTTCTTCAGGAAAACACTTAGTATTTACGTCTTTATAAGCTTTACAGTATAAATATTCCCAGCGGTATAATCTTTAACTTATATTAATCTTACTGGAAATCAAGTTAGTTGCCCTTAAATCTCGACGCACTTGTTCTTTTAACTTTGAAAAACCTGTTCTCAGTGTTATCGTAAATATATACAAAAACGGTGAATCGAGTTTTTAAGTTCAACTATGACGCTGAAATTTAGTTAGTTGTTAACATCAGGGATTTTTTAATTTTAGTTTCAGACATTATTAAGTATAATTCATTCCTTTTGAATTGAAACTAATGGAAATAACATCTTTAGTACCACTCATTTGCTTCAATCCTTCCTCATAAATGTCTCCAACAACTGGTATCGAAGTACTTGGTTCAAAATTACAGCACGCTAGAAGCAATTATATTTATCAGTATAGCGTTGTGGAGATTGTTTCAATGAAATCGCGAACCCATCGATGTTGCACCACCATTGGATTTTTTTATCAGTCATTTGAGGTTTTTCAGTTTTTAGTGAAAATCGGATACACTGAGTTAGGTTTTCAAAAACGGTTTGTATCATGGACTAAAACCATACGCAGAATATCTGACAACAAAGGAGCACTAGAAACCCATTTTTTCATTATATCTGGGCGTATTCATATAGCGTAACTATGATCCTATGAACTACCAAACCACAGACTTTTAAAGGTGAGGATGGTGCACATGGGCTCCAGTATCCTGCGGGAACAAATGGCGTATGAACCAACCGTTGGTCACCGGCTACCATGGGATTGCATCTCCTCACGATGTTCCACTGCCTTGTGGGTTAGACCATTAGGTCAAAGGCTCGGGGTGTGGCCCCCTAAGATAACCACCTGCTTCGGTTTGGGCACCTGGGCAGTATCACAGCCCGCATACAAATGATGAACTCTTTATGTCTATGGAAATTACCTTTCTCGCTTCGAAAAACAATAAATTGATTCGAATTATTATCATTACAATTATTGTCATTATTATTATTATTTTCCACACTACTCACCCTCTTTTATACTTATACAGCGGCTCGTCTTTGGTGGAAATTCGACTGTATCTAAACGTTCTCGAGTCACTGTCCGGTTGAAAATTGTATGTTACCACCGAATACGAGAACTGAAACAGTTTTTCTGAAACCACGTGCACCATTCAAACTGGCTGCCTTCAACGTTCGCACACTAGTGCAGGTCGGACAACAGATAGGGCTGGTTATGTCGTTGGAAAGTCTTAATATTGATGTTTGTTTTCTATCCGAGACCCGTATTCAAGACTCTGGCGAAGTACTACAAATTCGATCTCCATCTGTCGCTTCGAAAAGCTTGTTTTACGTGCACTTATCCGGGGACCCTGTGGCATCTTCGTCTGGTCTTGCTGGCGTTGGTGTCGCACTAAGCGCTAGAGCTGAGGCAGTGCTAATCGATTGGATCCCCATTAACAGTCGGTTGTGTGCTGTTAGATTAGAGAGTTCCATCAAAGTGAGAAGAAATCGGCGTGAGAAACGATGTCTTTTCGTCATCTCCGCCTACGTCCCGACAGATTGCAGCCCGGATGCAATCAAGGATGAGTTTTACCTCCAGTTGTCTGTTCTCCAGAAAGTGCGCTCGACAGATATTGTAGTACTAGCCGGAGACTTGAATGCTCAGGTCGGGCGTCTAGGCACAGAAGAGAGTCGTTTAGGTGGCCGATGGGGACTCGTTGGTCGCAGGTCAGATAACGGGGACCTTGAAAGATTTCTTTTGATTGTACCTTTCAGTTCCATCGTTACGACCACACTACCTTATACCAATCTCTTCGTTATCGTTCTCCTTTTCTTTTGTGCTCCTTAGTTTTTTTTCTATCTCTCTTCGAATTTTCATTGTTTTGTGTGGCGCATATATATTGGCGCTCTCTTGAGGATGACACTATTTGTCCACTGATTCGGGATCCAATGATCTGTTTTTTCTAACGCCAGTCAGTTGTATGCTGTTTTAGGGAAACAACTGTCCCAACCCAAACTAGTGTAAGTCTAATAATAATTAGTCTCATATTTTCTTCGGAGCCATGGTAAATCTGTTCCAAGTCTAGTCATGAGTACGTCCAGGACTATTCATATGAGTGACTTATTGGATAGTCTCTTATGTCTTAATTAATACACAAAAATCAAATTCTTAGTGTTCTGTTTACAGTTCTCTTACAACTTTTTATCAGTCAGTATTATTTATTATCTAAAAACAGGATTTATGTTGTTAAATTAATAAAAGGCTATTTAGCAATTTGTATGTGAATCTGTTCTTGTTGTAAAAGTTTCATAATAAACGGTTTCACCATATTTTGAAATAACTTTTAGCAAAGAAGCTGTTGAACAAGCCGTTTCAGATGCTAAACATAAAGCTGAATTAATAGCATCGGCATTTGGACAAAGAATTCAGGGTTTGATCAATGTTATTGAGGATGAATGTGATGTTACTGATGAGCAGCTGCAAATAACTACACCAAGATCAAATAACTTCAATGATTACTATCAATTAAAACAACCGAACGATAAAAACAATATCGATAGTGGCGTCAGTCAATCGTATGAGCGGCCATTCGACTGGAGTAAGCCATTACGCAATGCTCAAAGACATATACGGATAAAATTACATGTTATCTGTGCTTTAAGCAATTTTAATAACTAAAAAGCGATTCAAAAATCTAGTGTTTCCTAAACAAACTCATATATTATTTGCTTTAACGAACTAATCTTTAGGATTTTATGAGAATAGTTAATCATCATCCGAGTATCAAATAATTTTCAATGAAGTCCATTCCATATTTGATTATTTATGAAAAATAGTTATTTAACGACTCTAACTAGTTTTCATGTTGCTTGTTATTCAAATTAACTTTTTTTAAGGAAGCTTCAACATTTATGTACACACTGGCCATTTCTTTATGACAATAGGGCACTGGAAATTCTGATTAAAATAAAGATACATGAATTCTTTCTAGTTCCTTTAAGTAAATTATTTCTTTTTGTGATTACTTTTCACTGAAGATTGTTGTAAAGTAAGGAAGCATTGGAAACGTTGGGGAATTTTCAGCAAAATCGAAATAATATGAACAAATTTCGAATAGTGAGTTATTGTTTTAGCTAATAGAGTAATATCTTGACGGTGAAGTTCTGCATCATCAAGAAATCAGGTAGCATCCAACTATAAGCTGATTCGAATTTTCAGACTAAATAACAAAAAGATTGTTAAGTGTCTTTCATATATCCTCCAATTGGTGATGGTTCAAGAATATTTTAAAAATGAAGTGATTTTACCATTCGCTTTAAGAAATGTTATACATGGAACTTGATTTTTATTGAAATCAACGAATGTAGAACTTATATGCAGAACAAATGTACTGTGTTCTTGTTCTCAATGATACGATGTAATGTTAAAATAACAAGTGAATCATTAAATGTGAGTGGTCATTAATTAGCATTCCTAGGAAGCATGCTGAATGGTATATATATATATAACTCCAGATCTTCCAAATTTTTTCACTATATATTTAGAGTTTCATATTCCCATTTTACATTTCCTTCAGCTATCTGTCATTTGTGAACAATAAAGACTAAAATAAGTAGAATTATCGTCTTTCTAGACCGTTTTGAATGTAATTTATAAGTTTACATCCGAACTTCAATCCATCAATACATATTCCGACCCCAGATTAAGAACTTTTACCTAATGATCGAATGACGAACAAAGATATTTTAAAAAAAACTGAAAGACCGTGTGAACTTTCCATCAAGTGACTGACAAAGTTAAAACTACTTTTATGAAATTGATATGATTAAGGAATTAGAAAAAGGTAATATGTTAACAACTCCAGGATATTGGAGGTTGAGATCAGTCCTAACAGACAAAACTGAACACCGAGATATTAATTTGTGTTAGTAAGAAAGTTGTTTACTGATCGGCTATTCAAATTGAAAAGGATAGAGCGTAGAACCCAACTAGTGAAGGTCAAATATTTAAACGACAAAGATAATTTCTAATAAGCTGTTCTAATAAAATAGGCGTTACTTGCACACATTCAAACAAGTCATTAAGAAATTTGGTACTCCCGCAATAATACGATATAATCAATTAAGTAACACCTGAAGTCAACCTTTTAAATTTGAAACAGAAGTATTTTTTTCAATTCTTTAAATTTTATTTATTTTACGAGGAATAGTAGTAGTGTAGTTATGAGTACAAAAGATGAGTGTTGGGTTTAGCTGCTGTTTTCCTTGATATGAATTATATACAAAATACATAGAGATTATTGCGGACTGGAAACAACGAAATTTGTCAGTATCTAATGCATACAAATAAAATGAGACATTCATTCAAGGCGCATCCAGATCAACATACGACCGTCTTGGATAGCCACGTCTAAAAATAGATTGTGAGATTTACTTTGATAATAACAATAGTTTTGATTATATATATATATATATATATATATATATATATATATATATATATATATATATATATATATATATATATATATATATATATATATATATATATATAAATTTCTATTCGCTAAAAACAAGTCTTATGATCTTTGAGTAAATACTTTACAAACATGAACTAAAATTTAATTTGATTATCTGATCTCGTATTTTGATTTGTTCAATAACATCAAGCTTAATAAATAAACTACTGTGAAATCTTGATCTAGTGTTCTAAACGGTAGATCTCAACAGTGAGGAAGTAGCGGTTTGAAACCTCGTTCTACTCCTTTATATTGAAGTAACTGTACGGTACATACTTAAACTTCACAAACAACGATTGATGATATAGTGTCAAGCGCAGGAATCTGCGATTCAATGTTGGGTTTTAGCAATATTGTGTGGTCCATCGGTTGGGAGTTATGCTGAACCAAGTTTGTTTTTAAGTAAGGAAAAAAATTATCCTAGCCTACACTCTAGTCGATGGACCACAAACATTCTGTTCAGTAGATGGCTATCGGCTTCACAAATCGTAAGTAAATGTCAACATCTACTAATTAAAAAAAACTTGCATCTGGTTCAACTTAAATAATGCTTAGGGTTAGTTCTCGTCACAAACTGCCACCATTTGCTGGAGCATTGAAATCCAAGTGGAAAGAGGCAGCTGCCTTATACATGCGCTAGAATTCTCAGCAGCGGATAGTCACGACAATAAACTTGGAGCTGAATTGAAGGCCTCGTAGTGAGCACAATCTCACTCTTAATGAGGCGCTGGGTTGGTGTTTAATGGTATAATCGACAAATCTAATTAATTAACTTCTACGCAAATTACTAGCTCACTATATAATTTACAACAGAATGTACACTTTCCTGAGTACACATCAATTACAGTACATAAACACTTGCTAAAACCTAAACCAATCGTCAACCAAACACTTTACTAACCGATTAAAGTTATATCCACCAGTTCGTGGACCATTATAATAACTACGTTGATTGCTACCACCATATGGAATTCGGAAATTCGAATACTGTTGGCGACCATATGGTCGGGGGTAGAATGGTAAGTTACTGTGTATATTATCCCGTCCATAATTCCCTCCCATATTTCCACCTTCATTGCGATTGCGTCCATACTGCTGCCATCTTTGTGACTGGAAGTTATTTGATCCTTGTGCCCAAGAATTAGAACGTTCTCGTTCACTGGTTTCATTAGCTAGATGACTTGATTCTCTAGCAGTTCGGCGAGATGGTGAGGGTGACCGAGATCGCCTTCTAGGAGATCTTGGCTCAGGAGGCAACTGGGGTCGGGCAGGATCCATAAGATAGTTGTTGAAAAAGTAGGCCTGAAAGATAACAGGGAAATTATCATGGTTTACCCATATCATGTGATAAGTTATCAATTAAACCGACCGAGTCAATGATTAACTTGGAAAATGGACGACTGATTATTTATGGAAATAAAAAAACACGAGTTACCGGTACATAGAAGAAAGAGAATAATGAAAAAGAGACTTTCAATAAAAAAACGGGAAATCAACATGAAACCATCAATACTAAACAAGGTAAGATAATACGAAACTACTGGCCTGTATGCAGCTATAAAAGTGATTATATAATCACCTCATGAGTGAGACTTGCCTACGTAGAAATAAACACAAAATGTTAGAAACCGAAGTCAAGTCACTGTAGTCATATATATACTAGCCTATTATATCTTAATAAAAAGAATGTTGCCAATGTATAATATTTCAAACGTATTAGTGTAATATATAAGTTTACATCAGTTAAAATAGGTTAAATACATCCCAGTTACCAAGGGCAAGTTTTTATACTCAGCACTGATCTAAACTGCTCGATTTCTACTGGTAATAAATGCCCTGTCGCTTAAATTGAAGTAGATAAAACGTGAATTGAACCAGAGACCTAATGGTTGAATGCTAAATATTTAAAGGAGAAATCTTAACTGTATGGAAATACCAAATATGGCGCATTTATTAATAAACACGGATAGATTATATGCACGAAAAAAGTGTAAAACATATTGTGCAAGTTTGACAGGAAAAACTCACATTATCTTTCTTGGCAGCTTCAACCTTTTCCATATGTTTATTGAGAATATGTTTCTTAACGTAGATTGGATCTCGGAACTTCTTATTTGACAATGGGCAAACCCATATCACATCGCTTAAATAATATAAAAAATTAAGTGGATAAATATTACAGTAACTGGCCTACAAAACTTTGACACATACACTGGGTGAAAAAAACTACTTATCACCATAAATTTTAAAATTCGTTTTCGAGGTAGAGATTTCTGTATTTGGCTTCGAGCTACACTTGGTGTGATAATACCGGATGGCTCAAGCTATATTAGGCGGGACAAGGTTTGGTTCCGCGACTTAGTGGCTGAAATTCAAACATTTCAACCACTAAGCTATTGCTCTACTATGATTACACACCATAAGTTTCAATTACTTAAATAATTTACTAAAAATTTTGTAGTTTGAAAATTGTTTTTGTCATGAATTGGCATCAGTTAGAATAACCTCGTGAAGAATAACTTAATTTTCATTTGTAAGGAATAAGCGTGTTCTCATTGGTGTCTAGCTTTTAATACATATGCATAACCGATACCAGAACTAATACCTGTTTAGTTTTCATGGATATTTTGTTCTAGATAACAAGGCTAATTATTGAGAAAACTTTGAAAGCCCAATTTTAGTCTGTTAAAGAAAATTCATTTTTACGATAGATTCAGCAGAATCAATATTCTTTATTTGTCGCAAATTTTTACTATGTATGTACTGACCATAATGATGATACAGTAGGACAAGAATTAAGATTGATAGTTAAACTTTGATTCTAATTGAGAGTGGGAGACCCATACTTACTATATCTTCTAATCGTTTACTTGTTAAATGACCTCTTGTCATGTTTATCTTTGTGTTCAATAGCCGCAACATTTCGTTAAGAAAGAAAACCTATTCTATTGGGTAGTTATCTTGCTTTTTGAATGCAGTCCAATTAAGAGGAATAAGGAAATAATTTGATCTCGTGGGCATTTATCACTCGGTCACATCGCACTACATTGTATAACATCTACCCATTAGCATACTTTGTCTCCTTTTAACAACCGAAAATTCAGCCCATCAAATAATAAAAAACCTACTTCATAGTAAATAATTAATAATAACAATACATATTTGTACAAGCTTTACACATACGCCTTTCGTTTTTTCCGACGTGTATTCAATTTTATGAATTCTTCCACAACATCATCTGCATTTCTATAACCCAAACCTTTACAATCATTTTCTGTGAGCGGAGTAATGAGTCGTACTAAACGTTTTATTTGACTGGCAAATAACTAGATTGTGTAAGAGAAATAACATTTTGTAAAATTTGAGAATTAATTAATTTTAGCAAAGAATAATATATCCACATGCAGTTGTAACCATAACCAAAAGAAAAAATTCGAAAAATCAAGGATTTTTAGCGTCTAGTCAACACAAAAAAAGTAAAATCAAAGTTGAGAAATAATGTTGTACCCCGAGTTCTTTTCATAAGTAAATGAATGCATAGTATATTGATAGACAGACAGACATCATCAACATAGAGCCTGGCACAAAAGTACGTTGAGCCAATTCGCCATATTAGACTAGCAGGATGAGACGCAAATAAGGAGATCGAAATAATGTGGTAACTATGATGAAAAGACTAAGCCTTTGGAATATGGTTTGAAAAGACAGTAGAAACGTAAATGTGAAGAGATATCGGAGTTCAAGTTCGAGGGAAAAACAAAAAGTGAATGCATCTGTGCCATTGCGAATGATTCGGAGTCATGTCACTCGTCTTCAATCATTCTGATTACATTTATCACACATAGCCCAACTAAGCAGTCTGCATCAACATGATTCGGTTTAGTGGTCAATAACTTCATGGGCGGAGGCTACGTTTTAGTTTGTCCCCTTAGCTTTATCCCAGCCTACTTCTACACCGAGCAACGTCGTTTACTGAGGCCGGTAGCCGTTGGGGATATGCAACATATGCTCTAACTATCTTATATGATGGTTTACAGTCTTATCAACCGATTTCTGAGGTTTACCACGTACACTATTGCCAACTTTAACATTCCTCACTTGGTCGTTCCATGAAACGCGAGGGATGCTTCGAAAAAAGTTTACATAAAACACTGAACGTTGATAATTACACAAAAATGTTTGAATTTCCTCAACGTTTGGGATTACGAAAAAATTGCTCGACTGTATTTATAATGGGCGAAAGTTTATAAATTCAAGAGTAGCTTTGATACAACCATTGGTGAAGTTTTTGATTTGTCCTTCAGGAAAATTACTCATGCAGTCGCGTGTTTATACACTCTACTATGACACAAATACTTACGAAACTTACCTATAGAGTATACAACAACAAAATTGTGAGGGTGTAAGAGAATGTTAAGAATCTTCTTGAAACTAGGGGTGATAATCGGGCTAGGGAAAAAATCAAATGGTTTAAAAATTTGACTAAAACAAATGCTTCATGAATCTTGAGTAAAGAAATTGCTATATTCATTCTCAAGAGCCTGCGAAACCATAAATAAAGTACCAATCTCTTAACAATCGTTTTTAAAATCTTGCTTGGCTTTGCGAAACTAAGTAGATAGTAAGATATGTATGGAAACTAACTCGCCAATAAATTTCTTTCCGGGTTGTAGATACATAACCATAACGTTCCAGCTTATCACCAGACGCTTGGACACTGTCATGTATTATTAATAAATGTTTATTATATTTTTTGACATCAGGAATTCGGTTACGAGATCTGAGAACCAACTTATTCCATATTGTTAATATGTTATATCGAAATTCAAAAACTGTAAAATACCTCAAAAATGATAACGTTCTCATGTAATTTAGGTTGCTTTCATTACAAGCAGATATCAATCAGAAACTTCATGAAAATCAACATTAATAACCCTTTATGTATTTCAATCTGAAACAAACTAGCTTCGTGATCAGGATATGAATATTACCACTATCATTGGGGAAAAACTAAATATACTATACAGAGACATATAGAGAACTGTATGATATACAACAAACTGAGTACAATTAAAATTGTGAACAGTGGGAAATGAGATAATCATATTTCGTTTTATGATACCATCAAGGGTTACGTGGTCCAACATTCAACTCGATCATTAAACGAGTGGTTATCACTGTTTATGTCTATGTGTACAGCTGAAACGCTTCCACAAAAAATGTAAAAACAACTATCAATAATTTCCTCTATATCTATGACCATTATACAAAGACATTTTGTGAATTTAACAATAATACTATGGATAAATAAAATATAATACAATAAAATATTTACATGATCAACTGATTCTGAATTGATTAATTTCTCTGGACTTTTAACTTGTGTTAAAGCTTTGGTTATTTCATTTAAACCCGGTCGAATATGTATAAGACGACATGGATGTGGCATTAAATCTTCATTCATATAAAATGCAGGTGCATAAAAATCTACTGAATGTACTATTCTTAAATATAAAATTAAACGATCCAATACAACTAATAATTCACTATCATCTGATTCATAGAATCGTGAAGATATATCAAGTTGTTGTAATTGTAATGATGAATGTAAATTAATAATTTGTGAATTATTCATTAATGTTCCTTTTGTTATTGAAGATGGTTGAAATGAAATAGATTGCATACCGCCTAAAGAAATAAAGTGAATTTATAAAAATTAAAAAGATTTTTTTGAATAACAAAAAAATTAAGGTATTGTAGAAAAATTATCAAAAGGGGTTTGTGGTGATTTTAGAAATTTCATAGACTGAAATCATGAGTCAATTGAAGCTAGACCACCATGGAAAACCTGGAAGCATTGGACAGCCGTTTTGTCCTAGTATGGGACTTCTCAGCAGTGCGCATCCACGATCCCGCACCCCGCGGGCTTCGAACCCAGAACCTGTCAGTCTCGCGCCAGGCGCTTAACCAACTAGACCACTGAGCCGGCATCCAACGAAGTTGTGCCACCGTATACCATTGTCTTCAGTGAGCTGATATCTCACAACAGTCCCATACTAGGACGAAACGGTCGTCCAGTGCTTCCAGGTTTTCCATGGTGGTTTGGCTTCAATCGACTCATGATTTCAATCTGTGATACTGTAGAAAAACAAATTACGAGATAAAGTGGTTCAATTAAGAAAGAACTTGAACGGGTCAGAAAAAAATTAACTACTTGTTTAGACAAACAGAAAACTAATTATGAAAATGATTGGTTTTCAGTAAGAAAAAATTTTTAAAAAGCCCAAAGGACTTTTACATAGTTTGTAAATTTCTTAAGGCCATTTAGAGATACTTGATGTTTGAGATCGAAAAAATATTTGCTCATGTTGCTAAAACAAAAAGTATCATTACTCATGGTCAAGGATAATTTTCGTGTTTTCCTCACATGGTCTCAATATTATTTATGTGTACTCCTGTTTAGGGATCCACGAAATACTGTTACATCCGAACGAAGAAGAAAAGAATGGTAACTGTTAGGGATTATTTATAGACTATTATTATATATATTCTTATTAGATAGTTATCAAGTAACTAGGTCATATATTTTTCTCGTATTCGACTTATCATAAACTTTAATTTAACCTACTGGCTATTGTTATACCATTCTTAATTTATTACAGTATCCAATACTCATAGCCACTTTTGGCTTGATCTTGTATAATTATTGCATTTTATTTTGTAGTGTGATGCGATCTGGTCTGTTTGTATATAAACCACGTATGTCTGAAATAAACAATCCACACGGCGGACGCTGAGATTGTGTTCTGGACTGAACGGGCTGGACTAGTCGAGAAGTTACTATTTCGAGGATCAATAAGACCTCAGAGTTGACCCTAGGCTGTTCATAGACCCCAAATGCCCTGGTACGGCCGGGAGTGGGGAGAGTCATCTCTCCCTCTCGAAATGCTCTCACATGGCCACGCGTATATAGCCTCTGCCAGGAAAGTCCTACTCACTGCCTTCTCGTGGCATTACTGTTGTTTACGAAAATGAAAGGACGAAAAGCAAATGTCCGGCGCTTTAACTGGATTCCAAACCAATGGTGCACGTGGGCTCCAGTATCCTGTGGGAAAAAATGACGTATGAACCAATTGTTGGTCACCGGATTCCATGAGATTGCATCTCCTCACGATGCTCCACTGCCTTGTGGATCAGACCTTCAGGTCGAAGGCTCGGGGAGTGGTCCCCTAAGAAAACTACCTGTTTCGGTTTGGGCACCCGGGCAGTATCACAGCCCTCAGACATGTCTAATGAGATTTGTGTGGCGCATATGTATTTGGTGCCTCCTTGTACTAATATCTACGTGTTAAAATAAATAAATGATAATAAAGGCTGTTCATGCTGGCTAACGCATCATTGGTTGAGCACAAGGACAAGGTCATATAAGTCGGTGTTATGATTTACGTGATATTTGAAGGGCTAAAAATTATAACAAATACCGTTTGTGAACAACGATATGATGATTGCATTTAAACTTTGAAAAACATTTATAAGCTCTTAAGTTATCGGCAAAGACTGTGGTTTGAGATTTTAACATATTTCTTACTTTGTGCTGAAAATTCTATATCTTACCAAAAATACAATATTTAACAAAGCTAATAATAATGATAATGATGAATTATAGGCTTTAGAGTAGATGTCAGTCTCTCAAGAAACACTTTTAAAATGTCCTCCTACGTTGGAAAGTCTCCTAAATGCTGAAAATCTATTATAGTTAGGAAATAAAAACCACTCTACTTCCATAATTTTCCTCTGATTGTACCTTTTCTTTCGAATAATTGTTCTGTCAATTTTTACATCATATGAAACTAAAGAAAATAAACTAGCGATACGAAAAGGAAAAAATACAACATTTTAAAAATCACCTACCTAGCAAAAGAAGTTCTTCTTCAGCATTTCCCTCGTCGACAAGATAATCAGTTAAACCTTGCAGAAGAGGATTTATTGTTTTTATACTATTTAATATATTTGCCGCCTTTATTAAGTCGTCACCAGGATCAATAAAATCACTTTGTTTCTCATCATCTGAAAGCATAGATACGTCACTAGAATTTTTACTGTCTTGTAATGATGATGACTTATGTGTTTTCTGATGAGATGATTCTTTCACATCTGAATCATTGTTTTGTTCTTCTATGTAAAACAAAAACAGTGTATGAAGTGAAGAAATAAATTTTACAACGATAGTAAATATTTCACTTGATAATTTGAACGTTAAAAAAAGGATAATAATTAAGTTACACATGTACGTTTGCGTTGAAGGTGACAACTGGTATATTATTGGAAAGCTTACCATTAAAAAACTTCACCTCTGCATATAATTATATCAACATAATAATTTCGTACATCAGGACGATTTCGGAATTTCAGTGAATCGTTACACAAGAAACACAGTAAAAAGAGAAATTCAAACTGCTAACTGAAATCGACTGAAACTAAATACTCAATGTAGTTTGGATTACTTCACTAACATCAGGATGATTTTGACACATCTGTTCGATAAAACGACTTACTAAAAGCAGCTTATTGATGGTATTTGAGATTTGTTTGCTTTTTCGAAACCGAAATGTTTCAGGATTGGTTTATACCGATATCCAGTCTCATAATAAGGGTATAACTAAATGCGTTGATCACCTCACTTATCTCTAAAATCTTATCACCACCGATGAAATCTAGACCACCTGTGTATCAAAAGGTGAGTGTACGGCAGAGCAGCTGTGAAACACTGACTTTTGAGTTAGAAGATATGGGCAAATACCCAATGTTTTATCCTAAACGTTTAGACGCATTATCCTTTACCAATGAAGCAATTAACAAGCAACGTTGGCGTTGACTGAAACGTTGGAATGACTGAAAGGTTTGTTAGGTATGCTAAACCGCCAATAACTTGACTCAGTAAGCTGGCTACGATAAAATCAGGTTGAAAATATTAGATAGACAAAGCGAAACACGGTATTAATTCCCAAAACCATTACGCATTGTCCTAAACAGTGCAGAGAAATACAGATTTCATATAACTGTTTTATGTATTTAGAGACTTGCTCATAATTTGCGATAGTGGAGCATACTAATATCTATGTTCCCATAAGCTTTTTAAAAAATATGACTAAATATTTTTCTAGTCATTTCTTTTAATTTTGTTGTAAACATAATTTTTGAAAATTCCCATTTTTCATGCTAACTCTACTAACGTAAATTATAAAAATCTGGAGAAATGTATTTTTGCTAGATCATACATTGTTCAAGTTTGACTGACTGGTAAAAATATAAAGAATTGAGTCAATCATCTATAAAACTTAACATAACGATCAAGTGAACTTTTGTTTAGATTATATTTTTTATTGAGCAATTCAACAACTGCATCGCACTACACTAGATTAATCAATTTAAGTGAACAGATGAATAAGAACAGTGAGGATTACTAGTAAAATATGGTTCGAAACAGTACAATGTATAATTAAATAACCTCAAGAATAAATGAATTCTGAAATTATATTAAAAGTGAATAAACCAAGCAACTGATTTTTAATTATTCCAAAATATGTACTCCAAGAGGTTTTAACGAATGTATACCTCTTTTTTTTTCTTTGAAAACTTAATGATATACAAAATTAAGTTGTCTATCGGTAATTTTGAACAATTTCTTATTGCTTTAAACGTTTCTTAACAACCTCAATTTTGATTTAAATATCGAAGATGGTACAAACAAAATGTTTTTTTCCACGTCATCACTATCGTCATTATGATTATAGTGTTTCGTAAATTGTTGAACACCTGTTGGGATGTTTTATGCGATGGCAATAAACGAGTTAGAATTATTATCTATAGCCTTCATATTATTGCAACCAAAATTAGCGTGACTAATTACTACATACTAAAAGTGAATAAAAAACAGTGTACAAGTGAAGGAAAATCATTCCTTACCCATTGTTTCTTCATTTTCAAGAGATTGATCTATATCCATTGACCGATCTTGATTACTTGAATGATTGATATCATTTTTGCTTAAGTTATTTTGAAGAGATAATTTATTGATCGTCAGCGTCTCTTTATAAATTTTCTCCTTTTGTTCACTAGTAGTAGTAGTACCGCCACCATCTTCACCTTCTTCTTCACCATCGTCAACGATAGAGGAAACTTCCCCATGACGTCTCAAGTTGATATGTTCTTCTTTCCCTCCTTCTTTATCTGCTGACATAGTGTTATCATTCTTTCTATTATCATTAGTATCATACTCTGTTGTTGACCACAAACCTCTAGCCTTGTCGAAATCATAAATAACACGAGCTGCTATCACTAGATGACGACGTGCTAAAGCTTTTGAACGAATACGAGTTGGACATACACTTAATAACTTATCGAACAAATGTCCAGTCTTTCGAGCCCGTTCTTGATGTGGTACTTTCAAATGATCCAAAATTGGTCGCGATAAACGTAAACACTCAATTAAATCACTTGAAGCTTCACGATCAACTGCATATTCAATTAATTTATTTTTTATAGCGATTAAATCTATACTAATCCACTTATTGTTAACATCGTCTATATATTGTGAAGTAAATGATGCCCATCCCATACGTTTTAGTAAAATTTTAGGTATAGGATTTTTCACCCTACCGAATATTTGATCATCTGTTATTGATGACACTGTATCCGGCATGATAACAGGATCTAAGATAGCTAAACGTAAGAAATGTGGACAAGTGGAAAGTACCTAGAAAATTTAAAACAGGATAGGACAATAAAATTAGTAAAAACAATCTGACGATTAGAAGAATGGTAATATCAAAACAAATTTACTATGTATAAGCCATACTATATTCTAAAACTTATGTTAAGGTAGTCTAATTCCAAGTAATTTAAAGATCCCTTATAAAATAACCATAAAAAAACAAGGAATGTGATAGAGTGAACCAATCAAAAGTTGCTAAGTGAGATGGAAATGTTTTGCCAATCGAAAACCTCCCAATGACAAGAGCATGTTATTAGCCGAAAATATATATATATATATATATATATATATATATATATATATATATATATATATATATATATATATATATATATATATATATATATATATATATATATATATATATATATATATATATATATGAACCGGATGAAAGGTTCAGTAAACGCCCAACTTTGAGATCAACAGACTGGATTCCGTGAGGATCACTTGTGCACAAACCAAATCGCGACACTACGGATCACCGTTGAACGACCAATTGAATGGAACTCGTCACTATACATCAGCTTCAGTCACTATGAGAAAGCATTTGACAATGTGGATAGAACCTTATGAAAACTTCTTCGATACTACGACTTACCTGAGGAAATCGTCAATATCACACGGAATCCATACAACGAATCACACTGCAAAGTCATGCATGGAGGACAGATGACAGACGCATCCCAAGTAAAAGGCGGAGTCAGACAAGACTGCTTACTCTCGCTCTTTCTTTACCTTCTGTTGACTGACTGGATTATGAAGACCTCAACAACTCAGAGGAAACACGGAATACAACGAAGAGATCGGAATCAATTAGAAGATTTGGATTTCGCAGATGACCTGGTCATTCTATTCTATACACATGAACATATGCAAATGAAGACAACCAGAATAGCAGCAGCCTCTGCATCAGTAGGCCTAAACATACACAAGGGAAAAAGCAAGATCTTCAAATACAACATAGAGAACACCAACCCAATCACACTCGATGAAGAAGCTCTGGAAGATGTGGAAACTTTCACGTACCCGAACAGGATCATCGATGAACAAGGAGGGTCCGATGTAGACGTAAATGCAAGGGTTGGCAAAGTAAGAGCAGCATTCTTATAGTTGAAGAACATATGGAACTCAAAACAACTGTCAACTAATATCAAAGTCAGGATCTTCAAAACTAGAATCAAAACAGTTCTATAGTACGGAGTTGCAACTTGGAGAACTACTACAACTATCATTAAAAAAGTACAAGTATTTCTAGACAATTGTCTACGCAAGATACTTAGTACCCGTCGGCCATATACCATCAGCAGCAGCCTATTGTCGGAGAGAACAACTCAGCTTCTAGCTGAAGAAGAAATTAGAGGAAGGTGGTGGAGGTGGATAGGACATGCATGACGGAAATCAACAAACCGCATCACGAGGTAAGTGCCAACTTGAAATTCTGAAGGGAAATGGAGAAGAAAAAGGCCAAAGAACACACTGCGTAGAGGACTGGGTGCAGAAACGAAAAGGGTGAATGGCAACTGGAAAGGATTACCCAAAACGAAGTTTGATGGAGAATGCTGGTGGATGGCCTATGCTCCTCCACGAGGAATAACAGGTGTAAGTTATTCATTCGATTTGGTTTACACCGGCAAACTTTCTTCAGTCATCGTTTTCTCACTTAGTAGCTTTCTGAGGTTAGCATAACGTAGGTTTTGTGTATCAGCATCAGACTCAGACACTGCATATCATAACAAAATACTTAGGGGGACGATTGTCAGCACTAATTTTATCTTAAGAATTTACGGTTATCAAAACGTAAATATTTTAGTACAATATACAGTATGAGGTATACATATATCTATGGAAAAAGTGGCATGAAAGAAACTTTTGGTCAGTTAAGCGTTTCTATATATGTTCGGCAATACAGACGTTTCAAGTATTTCATACCCTTTTAATTTCAATCAATTCGCTGAGTTTTACCTAGAAACATTTTTTCAAAACTGTAGTAACTGTGATGTTGAGACTAGTTATTCAATGAACTTAAACGAAAATTCCAGAACACGTGGATTATACAAAAAGCAACTACTACTGGTAAACTTACAGATATTAAATCTCGTTTGAATATATTGAATGGAATATGTGGAAAAAATAGTAAAGTTGTATAATGAATGGGTCGACGAGTTTGTTCATTTGTGACACTTAATTCCTTCAATTCATCTTCATTTATTGGATCTGCTGATTTCTCTATTGTTAGATTATCGAAATCCATAGATTTTTCGCCATCATTAGTAATACTATTATTATGAGTATCATCACTAATAACAACACCACCAGCAGCATAAGGTGGATCTGTCAACCCTGATAGTACATAAACTTCATTCGATTGAGTTGACCCTGTCATATTAGGTGATTTCGTAGAAGACATCGTGTTGATTTCATCAGGCACTACTTTTGAACAATCACTTTTATTCTGTTGGTCGTTATGATCATTGTTATATAAATGGTTAATTGAACTGGGATTAACTTTGTTGTGCACATTATCGTGATTGTTAGTAGTATCATCATGATGACGGTGATGACGGCGACGATGACGGTCACCACTATGACCAGAATTTTCTTGGACATTCTTATGTTTAACAAGTTTAGAACGCTTCTTCTTATGTTTTACAACCGTCTCACCATCACTGCTATCACTGCTATTGCTTTTAGATATGCTAACTTTCCTTTGGTGTTCCTTATTATTATTATTATCATCATCATCGTCACTACTACTACTACTACTGTTGCTGCTATTACTGCTACCATTATCGTCGTCACTACTGTCGCTACTACTGCTACTACCACTAGTACTATTATTATTACTTGAACTGGAATCTCTACTATGACTGTTTACGCTATCAGTTCCACTATCATTACTTTCATCATCACTTAAACTACTGTCTTCGCCTTCCTCCTCTTCATCTGCATTATTTTGACGTCTTTTAATTCTGAACTCTTTACGCTTCTGGATTTTTGAAGAATCGCAATAATCTGGTTTAGGCTTCTGCAAAGAAATGTATAAATATAAAAATATGCATAATTAAAAACCTGTTAAGAGTAAATTTTGATATACCATAATGAGATATATTCGATTAAAATTTAAGATACTACAATATTGTGGAGGATAGCGTTCGTAGATTTGATCGATTGTCCTAAAATATTGGAAGTGCCTGCAACTGACAAATCCCAATGAAGGCCTAATTATTGGCGTAGGCACCACAAATGAGTTTATGCGTAATGAAAACCAGGTAGGGCAGCAAAATACTAAACATTATGTGGAGTTACATCCACATATACATAATACAGGACGAAAATAAATACGATTGGAATTTGTAAACACCATAACACTTTGGTGTCTAAAGGTATCCGAGGGTTACAGAACATTCTTGAAGGTTAATACTTGTAATATCAGTCAAATCCTGTCCTCTATGACATAAAGCCATGCTAGTAAACAAATTTCCGATTTTCAGAGTTTATCAGTGAACTGGTGAATAGTTGGCTCCAGAAAAAAGTGCCAGGTTATACCTGCATCAAAATGAACCCTACTTCACCTATTTTGGTTTGCAAAGCATAGTAGTATCACTAACCCTCATATTTCCAACGCTCCTTAAGGCTAAATATATGAACACTTGCTTGATCAGCGTTAGACTACATCGTAGTTATCATTACCAAGGTTTGATTTGATAATTTCGAATAAATTGAGCATTGGGTAGATTGTTATAAATAAATAATAAATTTGTAATATCCCAACAAGTAGAAAAATTAGATTTCCTGACGTTTCGTGACTTATTGTAAGCCATTTCTTCAAAGGATAAATAACCAAATTAAAATTAATCCAAATTTAAATAGTACAACATGAATATTCTACATTATTACAGAGAACATAAGCAATTTGATTTCACTATAATGCTGTTGCTAAGTTTTAAAAAAACCAGCAAAATATCCAGAAAATTTTTTTTCATACAACTCCCTAAGTAGAAAACCACTGAGTACGTATCAAAAGCCTGAATACTTACGTATAATATGGTATTAAATACGAAAACGAATTCTTAAGTCTTCTTGCTTATTTCATGTTCAGTAAAATATCAAGCAACACATATTATCGTTAAACAAACACGAAAAATATGATAACTCTATCAATAAATGACAAAAAATCTTTGAAAATAAGCTTATTGAGTAAAAAGAAACAACTCAGTGTTAATCACCAATATATTAAACATTATCACCTGAGGTTAAAAATATTGTGCGAGTTTTTGAACTGTTATGTTTATCCGAACTACACTTGTAAGAAGGAAACCCGATAACCCTGCGTACTGCGGTTAGTTCGTACTGATAAACACAAACAAACACAGTTTTATGATTCTCTTTAATTAGTCGCTAGTTATAAATATTAAAATTCGCAGCATTAAAACGAACTTAAAATAAATAGTACTTACTTTTTTCATAGTGCTCGCATCAAATTTCTCCTTATCCAATGGTCCTTCTCGTATATCTGGTGACTGAACTATATTGTTGTTCGGTTTAACATTTTCTGTATGTTGAAAAGTCGATGGCTCAATGATCACGTTGGGATCTTCAGAAATTCTATCTTCGAGTAGTTTGTCCAAAAGAGCAAAGTCCTCTTCCGTCCCACCAGCCAGTTTAATCGCAACTACATATTAAATATGAACAATTATAGAAAAATGAACTAAGTGAAAAAACACGTTTTGATTAACGTTATGAGTATATGAGGAACCAATAAGCGCTAATAGTTCAACAATTAGTATGTTTTAAAACTAACATTCTAGAGCGATTTCAACCCACTTTATTCTGAGCATATATATACAGACGACAGGTTAAAAGACTTGAGGTGGCATATAAAAAGTTTTCCAGTCGGTTTTTAGATATGACCTCAGTTTACACACAATAAATCATGTACACAAAAGAACGTTCAGAATACGGTGGGTTTATTAATTTTGGGAAGAAAACTTTTACTTGAGAACATCTATATCACACCACCTACCCATATCTAACAGCCGGACAATTTCACTTTCATAACCACTGGCTAGATGTAGATTGTCAAAATAACCATTTCTATAAAACTCCATAAAAATATCTAAACGTCTTCGAAACACTTTCATGCTGGACGATGATTCTGTGAGGTAATCTGGATGATATTTCTCGCGGAACCTATATAGAATAAATTTAAACAATTATATTAAAGTGAAGTGTAAGAGGAACATGCACAGTGATATAACGACGTAACATATTTTTGGGTATGAATTATGAGATGCATTGACTTTCCATATTCTTAGAAGTAAATCCACAGAAAAACTAGTTAGCTCACAAGTCTCAGACTTCAACAAACAAGTTAAATATTCTAATCTTAAAGTAGCCTTAAGGAGCGAAGCAACTTGATTTCGAAAAGTAACATGGATTAATAATTCACAACATGAATGGCTGGTTTATAAAAAACGCCACTGATGAAATTTAATTAAACGTATTTTAACATTTTGGAGAATGTAATACAGAGAGTGTTTCAATAGTATTGCAAATGCGATGAGGATGACTATTGCGAAGGCAAGTAAGGTGTTATTTAGCATTCACTTGTCAATAGTAGCAACTTATATGGTCCTTAAAACATCCTGATAGTTAAGAGAGCCTATGGTTTATTTCATATGGGTTGTATGGGGTGATTCGGGCAATTTAGTGTAACGTTCATAGTTTACGAGCTGTCAGATGGTAACCAGTGTTAGTTTGGCACGATCAGGGTAGGATTGTCAATTTAGAAGTCGAAGAATACTAGCAGGCTATCGCAGCTCAATAATCTACCATGACAAACCTTTTTGTGTAAAATTAAAAGTAGTATATCCGATCTCACTACATGATGGTGGATTAAAGCCAGAAATTCACTACCTATACGAGGCTTATTGCTTTTCGACTATTGTTGAACGTCGAATTCCGGTCTAAATTGCAATATCAAAGAGAGAATGGCTCTGTATATGAATACAATAAAGAATTTGTGGAGCAACGTAAAAAGAAACACATACCAAGCATACGACTTGTTCCTTTCGAAAAACTCTTCCAACTGTTGGCGAGCGAAACTTGCTTTATAGGCTGAATATTTCTCACCAGCCTCATTATTTGTTAAACTGCTGTGGTCGAAAGGCTCGAGAAACTTCTTAATGGACATGGGCCGTTGGGCGAAGTCGCCCTTACGAAGAGAATATCCATGATTTGGAACAGTATTTTTCACAGAATCCGGCGTATCAATTTGATCCACATCTTTTTCAGCACTCATCTTGTAGCGAACCCACCGACTGCTATCAAAAAAGAAAAGTTTACTGTGTTAAGACATACTAAATGGGGAACTGTCATCACAGAATATTTGTTAGTCATAGTCTCGCATATCATAAGTGTTAACTAGATTCTACAAGTATACGCAAACGATGATATCTTGCTTAGTAACTACAACGTAAGCACCCTAAAATGACTATTCTACACATTGCTGAACATCTGTAGGTTATATCTATATTAAAGCTACGACCAGAAAATATACACACTGACCTTGGTAAGGCGAATCTGCCACCACAAGACACTACAATATCCAATAAATCAGAGACGACCTTGAAGTCGGTTTCTTTCCGTTCGCACCTTGGCGCTATGGTATGATTCCAAGTTTTTCTTAGCTCACAACGAGGGTAATTTAGCCACTAGATCTCACTAGTCCTTATGAATTAAACTTTTATTTGAGTGTTGATAACCTGTATCATTATCATGAGCATCTATGGACCTGTAGCAGTAAATAAATCCCCAAAATAAATAGATCTGTAAGTCTTCAACATTAGATGCTAACCACATTAGTTTTATTGGACTCACCTAGCTGAAGGCGCTCGGTCATGCATCCGCACCAGATCAATTGTGGGAACGCCGTGCTCAACAACCCCTGCAATCGCCATTCAGATTAGATCAAACGATCCTCCATATATTGATAGCCAATGAAATATATCACCGAACCTCCTCGCTTCTGTTTTTTGATTTCAATTGGTGGGTAGGAATAATATTGAGTGTTACTGGTTAAAGCGTGGTCAAACTCCGAATACCTGTGGCATCTTCAAACCCATTGATTTCTTTGTGTTCGTTTCTTCTTCTTTCTGCACGGTTCCAGATACTTGGTGATATTCAAATGGTGACATTGCATCTACTTAACTACACTAATTCTAGCCACTTTGGAGTTTATTTTCATATTCGTACATTTTGATGTTGGAGTGAGCGTTTGTCTCAAGGCAGAGGGGCTACTGGATAGCAACAGTTCTCACGTTAGCAGACTAGGCGTTGGTTGGTTTCATTGTGACAGTAAAAAATTTGCAATGCGTTCGCTAAGAGTACAATTGTTCTTAGAATAATAAATAAGTTCATTAATTGGTAATTTGCTATAAGACGGAATTGAAAGAAATAAGAAGAGAAATGGAAATGATAAGAGATATGAAGTAGTTACTAATATGTAGTAATCACAACCGCGCTAAATTCTGAGACATGCATCAGACGCAACATGTCCAGGAGATAGATAGAAGTTCATATGTGAGTACATGTTTGTCAAGTCTCCTCATAAAGCTATCCACTGATGGGGCTGTGGTCAGTTCGGCTGCAAGAGCCATCCGAAAGGAGGCAAATATATATGAGAGAGAGTGGGAGAATACCTGGGTGTTTGCTCTTTGATGTGCAATCTTTGGAGAGTTGTTTCACATTGGATGGTGGTGATAATCTAGTAACATGCTTGTGTTCAGGTAGCTTGGTGTATCCAATATGTTATGTGCTATTATCAGGTCAACTCTTATTAACATGTAGCCTAATGAGAACAGTGCTAGGTGATGTATTCTGCCCCACCCACTTAGTCTCCCATCTCTGTACTTGGCCTAAGAGATTTACGTCTCCTATGAAAAGGAGTGCAACAACATAGTATATTTCAGAGTAGGGCCGTGAGTATGTTTTAAATAGTGGTATGAACAATACTGTAGCGGTTACGCAAAGTTGTCAACGCATAAACTGAAAAATTGTATTTGCCTTGAACGCATCTCCTATGTAGTTGAAGCTGGTATCTAAGCTCTTTGTGGCTACAAGCCCGAGATGACGTTCCGAAGAGGTAACTGGAAGTGAATGTCTACGGAAGTTGTAAGTGCTTTGTGTCAAATTTCGCAGAATGTTTGTAACATGAAATTTCATCAATCTGGGTTTCAGCCTATTGTCAACCGACTATTTATCCATTTCGGTCAATCACTTTTGAAACCCAAGTGAATCCTTTTCGCTATTTATGGAACTGTAGATCTTGGCGTCGTCTCCAATGGTCAGTACCGATTAGTTAATCTTATCTAACAGGTCCTTAATAAAGATTATGAACAGGATTGTATCTATGATTGTTTTCCGTGAGATTCCTGGTGTCGAAACCTTCCAACTCGCGTGCACACTTTTTACCTTGGTTCAAAACATCTTGTTCTTGAGATGGTTTTGGAATCAGGATATAAGTCAGAGACACACACCTCTCCAACTTTGGCTATGAGAAGTACGTGAGTCATTGTGTCAAACACAATAGCGAAGTCGGGGAATATTTCATGAATCTGTATCCCACAGTCCCAGCAGGTCATCCAGCTGCTACGAGTAGACTGTATGCACAGGAATTTCATTTCCTGAACTCGTGTTAGGTATCATGGGGGGTGTAGCTTTTACCGAAGTATTTCATCATTGGTTCGCTCTGCTTCAAAAATATAGCAGGAATGTCGTCACATTTTGGCTTTTCCAGGGTGCAAGAATTTCGATCTATATAACAATAACCCGTAATTTATCTGGATATCGCCAAGTTCCTCAACTGGCACTAGATCTTCGCCATTCTTAAGTTAATAATATTTTTAAACATTTGTTCCTTTCACATTGTAGGTCCCCGATTTGTAAGCTTTCTCTCAATCTCTAATCTGTAGAGATATTTTGGGTCAGCTTGCATTTGAGCTGCCAGCTTGGACTGAAAAAATTTCCTATTACTACCGACTTTGGCAATGCGTCTTCTTCTTTATGTCGTGTGAGAAAAACTGCCGTCAAAATCCTTCAAGAATATCTTGTGGTAGTGCCAGGCTCTCTGTTTAACATGTGGCGAGCATTCCATGCCCTGCTTCACTCTGGGTGATGATCTAGTTTGATATTAGCACGCTAATCTTTGTTACCATAATCACAGATCTAATCCCAAAATTGTAAATTTATCATGATGGGATAACTTAATCTGTAAGACTTTATGTGTAAGACACATCACTGTCTACGTTGACTCGTCGAATCATGACAATCAGCAATACGGTGTTTAGCACTTTGGAAGAACACAGTTGAGCTGAGAAATGAGTAATATATTTAATACGAAAATCGAAGGGCTATAAAGAGTGAACGCTCCCGTATGAGCGGATCATGCCAATTTCATTAATGCCTCGAGCACGCACTATTGCCGTCCTGCTTTTAACGTTACAAGTTGAATGTAAATCTGTATAATTATGGTCTACTTCATTGTTATTAGTGTGTATTTTCTACTTAATGGTGAGCACCATAGGTAGTTTGGGATGACCTTTTCTCTGATTTTTTTATCTGATCAGTAATCTTACTAAGAGTAGGAGTCTGGATAGGGGTGTGATCCTGATTAGTCAGTTGGAGATTTATTTTTGGTGATTGAGTCGAGCAATCCAAGTTGTACAGATTACTCTGAGGATCTTTGTCCGATGTTGTCATGAGGTTGCTCGCAACCCTGTCTCAAAAAATAGGTATTTCTGCTGTTATTATTAATCTCTCAATTTAGACCTTGACCTTTGCTAGTCGTCTTTGTAGTCATGGTGAGTGTACTGCTTTTACTGTGCATGCTACTCAATAGACTAAAAAGTAAAATGTGAGACTATTTGAGGGAGAGTCTTGATAGGAAGAAACAATAGGGTTGAGCGACTGCATATTGCACGAAAATAGAGCCTGAAATATTTGGAATCGCAACATTACCTTTCAACATTCTAGCAGGCAACTACGCATCTGTCCAGTAACTTACCTATATATCCTTCGTTCGAGAGACGAATAATACATAGCTGTAGCAAGTAGTTGAATTCAGCCCTAACGATTTTAAGCTTATCAGGTGCTAGTCTCTCGCTTTTAGCATACATAGGTGCGCCTTCAGTTTTGATTGTGTGACTTACCTTTAGTTTATTTTTGAAGGGCCAAAACATAGGTTTGGTTAAATATGGATATCCCACGTGTATATACTGGAATTTCGCTGTTGCTACTAGGTGAGTTTGTATAAAGTTTAGAGACGTGATGTGACTTTCTTTGCCCATTGTGTAATTCGAAATTTCTTACAGTGTTGAACATCGTTTCTTAGTATCGACTAAAAACTCATATCTCCTTATAAAGTCCATTCCCAAAATCGCTAGGTCTAAACCGGCTACAGTGAAAACCCAGGAGAATCGCCCCCTAAACCTCAAGTCTAGTGCCGACGCATGGCTGATTGTACTTGTCTAATTATAAACCAAACTTTCAGTGGTACCGACAGAACTGTCCGGATTTTCTGGACGTTTAAGACCTGTTCCGTGGCTTGGATCTTGGTCGTTGTGGTGACCGGCTACTGTTTCTGTGATCCGTTTGTATTTCGGTGACACGCCATGTGACACATTTAACATTCGCAGTGAATTCTGTTATGACTGGATCCATTGATTATCCCTCCTTTTGTGGGGGGAACCTCTTTCTTTTATTCTGTCTGCATTATGCAATAAGCGAGATGAAGGGGTGTCGAGGTCTCGTGCATCCAAACAGTGTTGGACGTGGTATGGGAGAGGCTGTATCCATCCTCATTCTAGGGCTGTTTCACCCAATGTGTTGTCGCCCACCAAATATTTCTCATTGGGAAAGCCTTTGGATTCTTTGATTACCTGATGAAGATAGACGGTCCATTATCTCTCGTCTTACAACGGTGTGTCGTTGCGCTGTTGAACTTATATTTGAGTCACGGACATTTTTAACTCCGCCTGTAGCTCTTCTAGAGTTACTGCCGGTCCCACGCCCGGGTAAAAAAAGGAGGGTTTGGTATGGGGTTAGCAACCCCATCTTGCGCAAAACTAACTCACTAAAAAACGCTTACCAGAAAAAATTATTCAAACCATTTTAACTCTGCCCTGGGAGTTAGAAGGTCTTCATTTAGAAGAATTATGACGCTTCATAGTGAAAGCCGAGTTCTTTCGGAAGCCATGAGGTCGATGCCCCCCCAACAACCAGAGCAAAACTTTTTATAGGTACATGGAACGGCCGAACAATGTAGGAGACCGGGAAGACCAGTTAAATAGCAATGGAAATGAGAAGATACAACTTAGCAATACTGGGAATCAGCAAATTCAAGCTGGACAGAAAAGGCCAGCTACGGGGGAGATGCTGTTATACTCCGGTCACGAAGAGGAAAATGCTCCACACACTCAGAGAGTCGCTCTAGTGCTGTCCAAATTAGCACGAAATGCACTTGTAGGATGGGAATCTCATGGATCCAGAATCATCAAAGCATCATTCAAAACAAAGAAGGAGGGGATCACAAGTGAATATT